AAAAGTGGAAAAGAAGAAATGGATTGGAGGCGAAAGGGCACTGAGAGGGTGAGGTGATGGAGGTAGGAGGGTGCACTGCCTCCAGAGGGCGCTCTTGCACAACGCTCTCGCTGTCATACAGTGATTGACCCGAAGATGCAAATCAAACAGAGCAAACAATTACCTTCCCATCATCTCCCAATCAGAGCGCAGATTTGAACTGAACGCTTGCCAGTGCAGCTGCATCACAAGGGAAAAACAGTTAGACAGCAACTAAAAAAAAAAACGTAGGCCCTATTAGAAATAGAGGACTTTACCAATTCAACCCCCACCATGCAAACTGCAGAATAAAATCATATATAGCTTACATATTTAACAAAGCAAAAGTATTGCAGAAGAAAAAAAAAAACTTTGAATATAAATAAGAAGTCAATATTTTGTTTAAGTCTTGTCATTGAACACAAGTCCATCACTGGCACTGGCAATTCATTTTCATTTAAATCAGTCTGAGGTAAATTAAGGCTGAAATACACAACACAAACAGATTTTAAAATACTTGTCGACTTTGTAAATGGTTACAGAGAAAAACTGGGTATAAACGACTGAAGATCACACACTAGATTTTCAAGTCATTCCGAACACAACTGAAACATGCGCTTGTTGCTGTGAGCCGCATGACAAATGAAAACAATATGCGTTCTAAAAAAAAAAGATGTTTAAAAGCTGCGACCGTCTTTTCTTCCCTATTGTGGCGTATATCTCAGTGAAACAGCTTCTTGAACAAGAAAAAATGTAGGGCGGGACTTGATTTTCTCCATGGGGAATTGATTGGATGGTTGTGGTTTGCTACTGGTCATTCTCATGTGAGTGACAGGCTTGTGTCTTGGTGGAGGGTGGGACTATATTCTCCACAACTGACTGCAAATTGCCATCCAGACCTGCCTCCAATTTAGTTAGCAACGCCCAACTTCCTACAATCCAATCAATTCTTGAGTCCAGTCCAGTCCCATCCTATTTATTTCTCAATGCAGAAGCGGTTTTACTCGGATATACGTCATAACAGGGAAGAAAAGACTATTGCAACTTCTGCTTCTTGCTGACTTTTTTAATTGTTAGTTTGTAAACAGTCTCATTCCAAGACGTCATATGACTGACGCTTTTGACCATACGTCAACATCCAGGGGCGTCATGCAAGCCAAAATTCTGGGGGGGCACAATCTGAGACGTTGCAATTGTTTTCTGACGGGTGATATGGATCATGTTAGGAGGGGTCAGGGGTTTTCTCCCCCTGCAAATTTTTTAATTCTGGCTGCGAAACAAACTATTTCAATGCAGTTTGGGAGGGACAGAAATACCTTAACGGAGCTGTGCATTATAAGATGTTTTGAAGGCCAAAAAAACTCCTAAAGTTGAGCTTTGACTGATAGGCTTTTCATTTTTGTCTGTCAGTGAAGAAAGTAAACATAGGGTCAACTGATAGGTTGATTTATGAATCATTTTCTCAGACGAATTTATTTACTGAAAGCTACTAGGAAATCTAGGTAGCCTAACTAAGTTTATTAAATTCATTCACAGTACACATTCATTATTGATCTTATGCCTAATACAGGGCCGTAGACAGGGCTTTATAATCACAGAGGTCATAAATTTGAGGTGGGTAACGTTAGGGGGTTCAAATTTTTTATTTCTCTGATATGTGCATTTCAAGACGTTTGAAGGCCAAAAAAAAGGATAAGAAATAGCTTTAAAACCATGTCAGTGGGCAGATTATTTGTCAATACCTGCTCTCACTTCTTATCCATCACTCTTTCTTTTTCTCTCAGTCTCCTGATCTTGTCTTCCCCTCCTAAAGCTGAGCTTTTTTAATTTACTTAAGGCTACAAATTGTACTATATTAATTCTCAATATGTACACATTCATTATTAATCTCTTGTGCCTAACAATGAAAACGTCTTTTCCCCTCACAATGACAGTAAACTAATTATTAGCCTACATTACGAGTCACGTTAGGCCTATTTTCAGTTCAAAATGGCGAAATTAGACAAAAGTATATTCGTGTGCCTGATTATTTTTGTCATTCGTTTAACATTTATGAACTAAAAAAACTGTCAAATATGAAATGTTTAGTTTAGCTACTTACATCTCGCACTTGACTGTACCAGTGTTGCCAACTATTTTCAAAGGAAAGTAGCTAATTAAGGCCTTCCCTAAAAGTCGCTAGATGACGTCATACGTCAATTAGCATATTAATGACGTCATCGCGTCGTACTTGCGTTCTGTCAGCCTAGTGCGTTTTCTCTCTAAATGAATGTTCTATTCAATATAATATAGCCGAATGTCAAATAAAGCTGTTCTCGTTTCCTATTTTTTTGTTGTCAGACAATTGAACGAGTAGCTATAATATAGTGAATGATTACATTTTTTATAGGCCTATGTGGAACATTATCTGAATGGGAACCGGATGAACTAAGCTCTGTGATAGTGTTTACAAGTAATAAGCACAAGAAAAGAAATACAATTAAAATGGTCAAACTAAATTCTTTAAATATAAAACAAAAGAAAAGCAGTTAAGTGATAAGTCCATGGAAAAACACTGCTCATTCGCGTCTGTCAGCGGCCGTGCGCTTCTCTCAGCCATTCACTGAACAGGGGAGACGCAGCTAGAGAGAGTGACGACAGGGAGAAAGGAAGACCTCGCGCTCGCAGGACAGTACTGTGGCAACATTTGGGGGTTACTGGGGTTTGTCCAAAAAGTCGCTAAAATTGTCGCTAGTCGCTTTTTTGAAAAAATGTCGCTAAGGGGGTCTGAAAAGTCGCTAAAAATAGCGACAAAGGCGCTAAGTTGGCAACACTGGACTGTACACTGAAGCGTCGAGTCTCACTGCTAAAATTCGCGCTCAGCTTCTGTGAACATAAAGCCCGCCTACTTTGATTTGATTGGTCATCTCAAATATTCTGACATTGACGAGCAGTGACAGACCAATGAGGCTCAGATGAACACGCACGCACACACACACACACACACACACACTGTCCTCTGTTTCTGACGTGCGCTCTGCTCGGCACCGCTGCGGATTGAAGATGAACAACGCGCTGAATCTGATTATAACAAGACTGAAGAAATAAAAAATTATCAGGGAGGAAAAATCTGAGGGGGCACGTGCCCCCTCACTTTGAATGGGCATGACGCCACTGTCAACATCCGACGTTTTAGGGTACTCTTTAACGTCAGTTAAATCCTAGGGCTTCATCTCACTGACGCTTTACCTTTAGCGTCAGTTAGATGACGCGGGTAGGTTTAGGTCTGGGGTAGGGTTAGGATTAGATAGCGTCATCTAACTGACATTAAAGGGTTCCCTAAAACGTCGGATGTTGACGTATGGTCAAAAGCGTCAGTCATATGACGTCTTGGGATGAGACTGTGTTAGTTGTACCACATCTCTCTGCTTTTCAGCATTGATACCACAAGCAACAATTATACTGTAAGAATTGCATTATTTTGGTGGAGAACTGACAGGAAAGTAGAGATTTCTTCCAGGGGTTTTTCCTCCACTCCTAACACCTAGAAGTTGGGTTCCTTCAAGTGGTGCTCACTGTAGAGCCAAAGCTCCACCTCTCTGGACATCATAGGTTGAGCTTGATCTAGTATATTTCCTCCTCTGTGGATCTGATGGGTGGAGGGATAGAGTTATGGGCAGGGTTAGGTGTGTTAGGACCTTTTCCAGCCATTATGCCCAAATCAAGTCAAGTCAAGTCATCTTCATTTATATAGCGCTTTTAACAATGAATTGTTTCAAAGCAGCTTTACAGAGATAAACATATAATTTAAGGTAACAGATTGTTTTGGCGTTATAGCGGTTCTTGAATAATGTTACTTCCAGCTAAAGTTAACTTTGATTGATTCACCTCCGTCGAAATGATCAGACTTTAAACGCGAACCTGTGATTAACGCTGACGGCGTTCACATGCTCATTCAGAATTCTATAGTTATGTGCTTTTTAAAATATGTGCGCAGGTTTGTAATTCATACAACCCAGCCTAAACAAACTACTTTTCTTGCCTATAAATTTTGATACAAAAATCACATCCAGAGAGGAGGAGCTGGACTAGAACACTCCACCCATGGCTCTGCAGTGAGCACTTCTCGTTGGCTTGCTTACTTGGGGTTTACAGAAAAATACACCAAGGCATAATTTTCATGTAATTGAACTTCCAAATGAGGACCTGGTAACGCTTCCTTTTACAGTCCTGTTACCTATTTACATACTATGTACTTATTATAGTAATTACTGGGTAAAAACTAGGTACTAACCCTAAACCTACCCCTAACCCATTTACTTACCTTATATTAGCCAATACTTTCTGGGTAAGTACACTGTAAGTACACGTAAGTACTGTACTGAGGCATTATTATTTTTCTGTAAAGATGCTTTGTTTGAAATATTGTCCATTGACTTGAGGGGCTGGACTTATATCACTTATGTCACAGCTCAGACCGCTTTAGCTCTTTTTGACCTAAAAAAAAACAAACAAACAAACAAAATCCGGTGCAATCCGAAACCACTCAGATGATAGGAAAAATTCATTATTAAGTAATTTGCATATGGGTCAGGGGGCATGATTTATTCCATTTTTTTATATTTTACATTTCATAAATTTAATTTAAATAAAGATAACTATCTTTAAATAGGTCAATTCATTAATCTAAAATAATTAAAAAACAGCCATGTAAATATCAACCGCTCAGATGACACTTTGTTTTACCTTTCAATCTTAAAAGACTGAATTTATTGTTAAAACAAAAAGGTTTGTTAGTTTAATGTATTCAAATTACCATTATCAATTTGACCACATTTCACCAAAACGACTATGTAAATACTAAATACAAAAATACATCAACACAACTATACATATATTAGCAGACCTCTATCCTGAACATAGGAGAATTCACAAATGTGAATATTTTTCTGTGCAATATTAATGTCCTCAGATCGTTTGAGCGCAGTGTCCCCTGGCAGGACGTCAGATGTTATACGGGGTATCCGTATTTGCTGTCGTACGTGAGCTGAGGCCTGTGATCAGACGCAAGCATGCTGGCTTCCCTTTGGGCTCTGCTGCGTTCGGTGTGGGCACTGCTGCGACCGGATCCTGCCCGTGTGACGTCGGCTTTCTTTACGGAGCTGTAATAGATCCCGGGGTGGACGTGGTAATTCATTACAGAACGGAAGCTGGAGGTGCGGCTTCCCGGACGACTCTCCGGAGCTCTGGTGTCCTCCCTGAGAAAGGAACAATGTCACATGGTGTTAGCCACATTTATTTTTTGATTTATAATATACTTATATAAACTTGCGGCCAGTCCATTTAGGTATTATTGGGTGTGGTTGCAGTTGATGAATAACAATGTACCAGTATTGGTGACTTGTCAGCCAGGTATTTACCCATGAGATTTGTTGTGAGACATTCTTTAACGATGAACTAAAGGTATGTTGGCTACTTCCGCTGGTGTATTGTGAGACTGTGAGACAGTACGCCAGTGTTGAGACATGCTGCATTTACACCCTCTCGTTATTAGCAGTAATTATGAGATGACAGCGTGTGACGTTCTACTTGGAGCTGTTCTCATAATGAGCTGTTCTTGGATGCATTTCTATGGCAACATTAGCAGGTCAGGTGGTACAGCGGTCAAGTTACAAGTTGTAATTACGAGTTCTACAAGGACATGAACGCTTTTTACAAGTTGGAAACTCAATTACAGTAATTCCGAAATAGCGTGAACACACCTCTATACCACCAGAGGCACCATTCCCATTCAAACCACTCAGTTGAGCAAAAATGGATTGTCACATTTAATAATATATATTGATAGACAATATTAGAAGGAAGAACAACAATAGTTTTGGGCAATATTTTCCTAAATTTTTTGAAAATCCACTAAAATGCTTACAAAATATCCTCTAGTACTATGACTACACCCATGCAAACCTTCCCACGATGTTGTTGTTAGGGTGTTGTGGGTGGTTGCTAATGTAGTTGTGTAATGTGTTTATTAGTGCTTGCATACTAGCTCATGTCAAAAGAGGTCCAACTTCAAGTTTCACTGGCATTCTTGTATCTGCGACTGTGCCTCCTTTAATGTACGTCTGTGGGATTTTAACTTTAAAGTCGGCATGAATTGAAAATTCACCCTATCTATTTTCCAAATGCATGTAATATTTCTTATTGAAAACAATTCATGCCCACATAAGTTTCTTTTTTTTTTTTATGTCATAACTGGACCTATCGGTGTAAATTACTTCTCTCTGATGATGTATGCAGGACTTCTCCAATCATTTAGTCCACTTAAACTCGATTTTATCTACCTCCATTTTCAGATTCAATCAACAACTGATACATAGAAACCACAACCCTCCCTACATTTTTTCCTTTTTGATAATCCGTTTCACTCGGATGTAAGTCGTAATACGGAGGAAAAGATATGTCGCTATACTTTCATCATCATTCCAATTTTTAAAAAAATAATATAAACAAGCAATATCTTACCTGATCTCATTGGCTACCTCTTTTTCATAGCGCCGCTTGTTGCAACAGCAAATCAGGAGCCAGATCAGTAAAAGGAGGAGGAGCAGCAACAGCAAAACACCAATCACAGCTCCCACAATCACTCCCACTTTATTGGTTGCTAGAGATAAAAGATTCCGATAAAAGCCAATAGATTATGTGCAGAAATGGCTCACTCGAGTCTTAACCTGAGAAATAATTCATCTGACAGTGCTGCTGAGGCTTCAATTGCCTTACAAAATCATCTGGAGAATAAATGGGTTAATCAAAATAATATGCACAAAAAATGCTCTGTTGAGTGAGTCTTGAACATATTTTGTTCAAGGACATATGCTGCATAATGGCCTTCATAAGAGTATAATATATGAACCTTGAACAGAAATGTGCTGAATACACAGGAGAATGACTGCATTTCTCCATTTCTCTATTGGTTCAAAAAGCAAAGACACTTTTTTTTGTGCAAATAAGTTGCATTCAAGTATTTGGACACTTAAGCTACCTCACTTTCATAACTCTTAACACACTTGTACGGAAAGTATACTTTGTAATAATGTCAAATGTAAAGTTTTGAAGTACATTTTAAATCATTATGTTTTAAAAATGTACTAAATTTCACTCAGAAAAAAAAAGCGTTTGACATTTATTTGAAAGGCAGAAATGCTTCATTAAAAATGTCTCAAAAGCCTCAGGAACTTTTCAATTCACTAACTTCATGTTTTAAGCCATTTCTTTTAGCACAGAATCTTTAAATCAGCTGGAGTTTTAGTGATTTCTAGTGGATGTACACTTACCACAATACCAGTTTGAATGTTTTTGAAAGAAGTCACTTCTGCTCACCAATGCTGCATTTATTTAATCAAAAATACAGCTATATTGCACAATATTACAATTTAAAACAATTGTTTTCTATTTGCATATATATTAATATGTAATTTATTCCTGTGATCAAAGCTGAATTCTCAGCATCATTCCTCCAGTCTTCAGTGTCACATGATCCCTCAGAAATCATTCTAATATGCTGATTTGCTGCTCAATTATTATTGGTTAGCTCAATTATTAATAATGTTTTTTATTATTATCATCAATGCTGAAAATAGTTTGTGCTGCTTAATATTTTCGTGGAAACCATGTCACATTTTCTTTCAGGATTTTTGATGAATAGAAAGTTCAATGAACAGCATTTATTTCAAATAGAAATCTTGTGTAACATTAGAAATCTTGTGTAACATTAAAAACATCTTTAAAGTTACTTTTGATCAATTTAATGCATCCTTGTTAATTTCTTCTCTCTCTCTCCAAAAAAAAAAAAAAAAACCTTACTTGCCCAAAACTTTTGAATAGTACTATCACGGTGTTTCCACACAACTGTTTTAAACATTGATAATAATAAGAAATGTTTCTTGAGCAGCAAATCATCATATTAGAATGATTTCTGAGGGATCATGTGACACTGAAGACTGGAGTAACGATGCTGAAAATTCAGCTTTGATCACAGGAATAAATTACATTTTAAAATGTTTTTTAAAAAACAACAGTTATTTAAATTGCAATAATATTTAATATAATTACTGAAATTTTGATCAAATTAATGCAGCCTCGGCGAGACTCAAAAACATCCCAAAAAAGTTCTTAGCTTCACACAGGTGTCCTTACAGAGTAACTGCAGGTGTAATTCTCTATGATAATGAATCTTTGGTAACGCTTCCTTTTACAGTACAGTACTTACGTGTACTTACAGTGTACTAACCTAGAAAGTACTAGCTAGTACATGGGTTAGGGGTAGGTTCAGGGTTAGTACCTAGTTATTACCCAGTAATTATAATTACTATAATAAGTACATAGTAAGTACATGGGTAACAGGACTGTAAAAGGAAGCGTTACCGAATCTTTCTGTGAAATGTCTGTTCTTGTCAGATACAGTATATGGCACTCAATACTCAACACTGACATGTTGTTGACATTCAGACGTCAAGTGTGTCTTACTTGTGCAAATACGTTGTGGATCCACCCATACTTACGGTTATATGCTTGAAGGGAGTATGTGCACCGCTCCGCTCCTACTTCATTGCTGACCTCACAGAAGTACTTCCCCGTGTAGCTCTCGCTGTGGTTTGAGATGAGCAGCTCTCCGGTCAGGGGATCTTTAAACAAAAGAGTCATTCAGAATGAGCAGCCATTGCGAAAGGCCCGGCAGCGGCGTTTACGGCAGAGTGCACACAGTAAAACTTGTTTGGTTGCTATGAGGCTCAAAATATGCTTTTGTTTTTATCTACAGCAGCTGGCTCTACGACACACAGGCCTGAAGCTACGGGTTATTCAAGCGCTACCAAATATTGAGCTTTCGCTTCAACTATCCGCTAGTGTTGCGCTAGACCTGCGTTCACCGCTGAGGACTCACTCACTCACTCACTCTGTGTTGCGGTTGGTGGCATGTTTCCACTTTCTTTGGTCCATGCATATTTCAGAGGTGATGAACCCTGGGTGGTTTTGCAGCGGAGCGAAACGGTTCCGCCCTTCTCCTCGCTACCTTCCAGCGAGCATTTAGGGGGCGAAGGTCGTACTGACAGAAACCAAAAGAAAAAGAATCAGAGGTCATGGACAAAATCACATGGCTGATGCATGGAACTAACATCAAACTGATCTGTTATGAGCCTGCAGCGTCAGTAATGATTGCACTAGGCCTGGGAAATATAGAGTTATATAATAATAATAATAATAATGCATGTTGATATTTTTAATTACTTTATATATATAAAATAATTTTTTTGACAGTGATCAGAGATTGTAGCAGGGACGTGCACAGGGGGGTTGCTCAGGTTGCCCGGGCAACTGCCCATATGCCCTTCTCGACTCAGGTTGCCCTTCCGAAAAAAAAAAAAAAATCGTACAATGGATGCAGAATTTCACGTAGGCCTATATTAAAATAATAATAATTTAAAAAAAAAAATCGCAAAGCCTCATTCACTTCCATTCGGGCACCGAAAGTGAAAGTCAGTAAGAGAAGGGCAAACTGTTTACGTGACTGCAGCGCTGCACTCGACCATAGACTGCACGCGACCGGCGTAGGGCCACGCAAATTACTTAAGGCCCCGCCTCCATCTCATGTCATAGCGCGTCAATTAATGTGTACAACATCCATGACAAAATGAAGCGAAACTATCCTTCTGGTCACGAAAAGAGGAAGAAGAAAAAAACCATGAGAGTGAATTGCGGGAACAACAATCAGGTAAACTTGTGTTCTCTCCTCTCTAAGTTTGATGTCAGCAAAGTTTGTTGTTTTTCTGTCTTGCTAACCTAGCTGGTCAGGCAGTGCATCTCTTGCATCACTTTGTGCCTGACAAAAGTGAGAGTAAAATACAATTATTTATTACGTTTGTTTTTGATAAACGACAAAGTGCAACGGTGTTTGTTTACTGCAGCTCCGAAAACATAACCACGTCGTGTGTGTTATCGTGCGTTCAAATGCGCGTGCACGAAATGAAACGCGCATTTTTCAAGCAGAAATATGTGGAGACCAGACATACTGTACAATACATGCACGTGAATGATGGCACTCCCAATCAAAGTACACATTATACTTTTAAAACAAGACACTGATTATCTAGTCTCAGTGTTAAAAACTCTAAACAACTGCACTAATTATGCAAGATAGAAAGCAATGTATTGACAATTTGACATTGATTGACTATTGATTTATAGGCTATATTGAATTTAAAATGTTGATTAGCTGGACATACTGGTCAATATGGATGCAAATCCCTCAGTAAATAATAACCATAAATCAAGAATTGCTTCAACATGCATAATAAAAAAAAAAAAATCATACTGATGCCGAAAATGCCCAGGCTGTAGAGAGAACCAAAGTTAATACCAAAAGCCAAAGCTCAGGGTTATAATTTATTATTTTCTTCTTATTTATGTTTACGTTAATATTCACTTACTTAATAATATTCACTTGTTATCTTAACTTAGAAAATACTCTATTCAATAAATATTGTTTGTTTGAAGTTTGAACCTCATTCTTTTATTGTTGTACTTATTCTTTGACTGTTTTGTTTAAAGGAGGGAGGATTGTATTGGGAGCACTGAAGTGTCAGGTGTGACTATGGCAATGGCAAATGGTTTACATAGCTCACGACATCACGGGTCAGGTAGAGGCCCCTTAGCAGAATTTTGCTTAGGGCCCCAGGGAGGTCAGGATCGGCACTGGGTTTAGCAGTCGATTCTGTTCCCTACCGGAATTCCTGTTCCCTTTACGCAATCATACTACAAATCATGCGTAGTTGCCCAGTTACCATACGTACCATCAGCACTGAATTCGAGCAAAAAGCACAATTGAATGTACGGGAAGCCAAAAGGTTAAAAAAGGATTGTATTTTTTCCCGAAATCTAAGTGTTTTTTTTTTTTATCAGAAGCGAGTTTTTCCCCATCTGTCAATTCAATCCAGATTATTTATTTTCAAATTAAAAAAATAAATAAATAATAATAATTAAAAAAGACAATAAACAATAATATGAGGAACTCTTTTTCTCATGTGTATTTTGGTGACATTTAACATATTGTTAATACATTTTGTATACTGTTTACAAAGTTGTATATCATAAACCTGTCATCTCTGACGTTTTGCAATCTTTATAAATAATAATAAGACCATAATATGAGGCATTGCGTTTGGACATAAACACGATCAGATAAGGCAATTTGTATGGGCAAAATTAAATTTAATATATTCCTTCATATAGCCCGTGAGTTTTTTGGGGGGGGGGTTGTGCCCCTTTTTCAGGTCAGAGCAACTGCCCCACAAAATTCCTGTGCACGTCCCTGGATTGTAGCCAATTTGATTAAAAAGGTATTTAAAAACAATTATGTGTATATATATATATATATATATACATATATTTAAATAGTTGAAAAGAAAGAAATTTGTCTTGGATAACTGGTAATCCTCCACACATATCTTAAAGCTCACTTTCAGGTGCACGACACCAGCTTTTCACAATCTAATTCATTCCTCATAGATAAAATCAAGTCCTATAAATGTTTTTCTCATTGGATATCCTGTTTCACACAGAAAGGCATCACATTTAAGGAAGTAAAATGAACTGGGAGTGCAATTTCATGTTGACACAGTCATACTTGGAAGGATTGTGAAATTAGTGTCACTCTGTTTAGAAAATTGAATGGCCAGATGAAAATTAATTAAAACCATTGCAATATTCACAATGATGCCAAATTTTACGACAGCAGCAAAATGACAAATATATTGTGAATATTTGATATATTGTCCAGCCCTTGACAAATATGTTGTCATGTTATTATAGGTAACTAAAATAATAACTTTTGTAAAATAATATTCGTTACTTAAAATCACGTTACTTAAAATAAAATAAGCGTTAACTGAAAGCAAATAAAATTAACTTTTTTCCCCCAACTGGTAGCCAAGGCAACATTTCTGATTTTCATGTTTATTTTAACATTATGTGCTACATGTAAAATTTACATAAAAAATAAACTATATTACACATTAAGTTTGAGATCACAAATATGTGCCAGATGTTGAATGAAATGAGCTCTGACGATGGTAAAAAAACATCTGCTCAAATTTGAAGTTCCAAAAAGTAAGGATATATGTTTTATTTTATTCTTTTGCAATTGTTATTAAAACATCAGGAAGGTTTTATATTATTGCGGCAGTTAGAGATCAATCTGTGTTAGATAGTATAGACCCGGGTCGCTAAAGACCCGAATATGTAATAATGATTTGCAAAACATTCATTTATTTAAGGGTTTAAAAAAAAGATGAGCACACAACAAAAATACTAAAACTAGAATTAAAATGAAAATGGATAATATAAAAATAAAAACGATTTCAAAATATTAATATGAAGTATCTCAATGATACTGAAATAACATGGGCGTAGGGTTGCTCCCAAATTTAATTTTTGTTCACTGGAATAAAAAAGGAATACTATATAAAACAGAAACTTGAGTAAATACATTTACATGGCTCCAAAAAATTATTATTTAATATTAATTAATTATTTTTCATTTTAGATTTGAACACTAAAGAAGCCCCAATGGTACTATAGTAGTACAAATACTATAATTAAAAAATAAATATAAATTATAATCTCTCAAATGAAAATAGTAAAGGCTGCAAAAGAATAACACAAAACTGAAAGAAACGTTTGAAATAAAATAGAATCAGCCTCAAGATCTAAAAATCCTAAACTATAATTACACTGGACTCTTAAAGGATCACAGCACTGAACTGGAGTTTTCCAAGAAAGTGGAAATCACTGAGGCTCTCGACAGACGAGGTGGCGGGGTTGGGCTGAGATTAACAGAGGAAAACAGAAGGCAGGCGTGAACAAAGAGCATTCACCCCACCTGCCATTCCAGTCATGTCATCCTGAACGACTGATGAAAGGAGCATGCTGGGGTGGAGAGAACCGGTACAACAGAAACCCAGCAGCTTGATAAGAGCGCCAGAGCAGGTCAGCAGAGACAGAGAATGTGCACGTCCTCACCCAGCACCACTAAAGTGACTTTCCTGGAGTCGACGCCGGGTATCTTCTTCACTTTGCACTGGTACGTGGCCGTGTCCGAGACCTTGAGGGTGGAGAAGGTGATGGTGGCGTCGCCGAGGCTCGGGTCACCAACAAACTTGAAGCGACTCATCAGGTCTGCGTTTCCTAGCTGATGGAGGGTCCCTCCGCTGTAGGATAAGATCTGTCAGAGAGAGAAACCCAGTGAGCCTTATCTAATATAACAGGTCTAACCACCTGCCGTCATCAAGACGGAGCCGCTAATGCACCGTACACACTGATTTCTCCAAATCTCCACACACATCCCTGGAAAGCATGAGGTTAAGTAGTATGGACGAGGGAGAAATGGGAGGAAATTACAAAATCCATCAAGATGATATACGATTGATCAGGTGTAGACTGTGATCTCCTTGGAGCTGAGAAAACATTCTTACATTCTTGTCTTATCAGAAACACCAGATGTTACGTCGAGAAAAGCTGCACGGCATGCATTCTTTGCAGTTTTAAAACCACCTTTATTCCTTCTGTAGTCTCATTGATGTACACCGAAAAAATAAATGGGTGTAGAAGCAATTTTCATTCAGAAATTGTAATACATTTCACAAACAATTACAAAGAAACAGCAAGATAAACATGACATTGACATGACATATTTAATTGGCTAGGCGCCAACCAACCCCTTCCTCTCTCGCCGCCACTGAGTTGCAAGTGCGAAAGTTAGTTTTGCATCTAATATATCGCGAAAAGAGTAGCAAAAGTCACGGCGCGAAATTTGAAATTGCAGTGACAGATTTGAGAAGTTGCAAGCGCCTACTTAAGGTTGTACTGCGAGTGTGAATGTAAGAATAAGTGCAAATATATGTTACAAGTTTGTGTCTGTCATTGTATTTTTGTCAATGGCATTTTACACATTTGTGACTGCTTGTCTGCAGAATACAGGTTTATGTGCAAATTTCAACATTCAACTTCAGATTTTTATTTTACAGGTTTTCACATTGGAGCTGTGAGTGTACATTTTAGCGTACAAGTACGAATATTTATTGTACAAGTTCTCAAATTCACATCGACGTGCTCTCGAGTTTTGCTACTCTTTTACCTTCATAGTTAATTTACACGACAACGGCGTTTTGGGGACCTGAAAACTTGTTTCAAAGTGCATGTTTTTTGAAAACGATACTGTTATTGTCTCTGTAAACTACAAAAATGTGAATTTGTAAAAAGAGTGACATCATGCGCATGCGTATTACATGTTCAGTCTAAAGGCGCAGTTTTTCTTTACAAAGTGACATCGCCGACTACTGGCCTGGCAGCAGAATACAGCGATTTTAGTCATTTTCACGGATCTGTGTGGACAGGGATCGGTTTGACAATGGCGTCACCTGTACACAAAAGACATAAAGTAAAACCTTTTCCGCTTTTAGTACATCATTGTCGTGTAAACATGCCCTTACTCGTGTGCTATAGCAAGTGGGCGTTGATACTTCTCCTATGCAGTGAAGTTAGCCAATCATAACAATGGCTGTTTACTGACACATCTTAAAAATGGGATAATTTCAGACAGAGGGGCAGAACAATAGTTGAATTTTTTTTTTTTTTTTTTTTGTGCAAAATACTTTATGAACACTATAAGTGAACCTCAAGGAACGTATTCAATAAAAATATCCATGTCACGACCACTTTAATCTCCATTTTGTAATTTCAGTTCCCTCTCACCAGCTCATCTTTCTGGGTCATGTCTGGATTGACGATTGTCCACTCAATGTCCAGGTCTCCGACATCTTCGGCGAACGGGGTGTACGTGCAGCCCAAAGTAAGACTCTCCCCCTGGGCTTTCTTGATTGTCAGTGGTCCAGTGGAAGTCACCTTCATAGCCCACGTAAGAGCTAAAGGTTCACAGAGAGACATACAGGATAATGATTAATGACCATTCATTTTACAAACACCTGTCTTGTCCAATTTCATTTCATTTGGTTCTCAACTAGTTTGTTTAAAGGGTTCGATCACCCAAAAAGATAATTCTGTCATTAATTACTCGCCCTCATGTCATTCCAAACCCGAATCCAAACCTACGGAACACAAATGAAGATCTTTTTGATGAAATCTGAGCGCTTTCTGTCCCTCCATTGACAGCTACACAACTAGCACTTTGACGCTTCAAAAAGTTCATAAAGAGATCGTAAAACTAATCCATATGAGACTAGATCACTAAAAGCCTAAATTCAATCTGTTCATCATATAAAGCAATCAAGTCACTTCAGACAATTTGGTCTAAACCGCTCAATTCATATGGATTAGTTTTACGATCTCTTTATAAGCTTTTTGAAGTGTTTAAAGTGGTAGTTGCGTGGCTGTCAATGGAGGGACAGAAATCTCTCAGATTTCATCAAAATGATCTTCATTTGTGTTCCGAAGATGAACGAAAGTTTTAAAGGGGTGGTTGATTATGGATGTCACTTTTTTAACTTTAGTTAGTGTGTAATGTTGCTGTTTGAGAATAAGCCACATCTGCAAAGTTACAACGCTCAAAGTTCAAAGCAAAGGAAGATATTTGCTTTTAAAGAAATAATTTTTTAAGGACTACAACAAACTGCTGGTAGGGACTACATGACATTCCTTGGGGGGTAGTGACATCACAAACCCTAAAATTTACATAAACCCCGCCTCCGGAACAGGATTTATAGATTGAACAGAATATGTCATTATTCATGACAGAATATGCTAATCAATGACTAGAAGATAACTACACAATTAGTGCTGGGCGGTATACCGGTTCATACCGAATGTTTATTTTTGTTATGATATGAATTTTTTTATATACCGCAATACCGGTGTATGACGCTTTAATAACGATCGGAACGCGGCGCGACACTGTTTGAGAGGGTCCCTTTTCACTCTTGCACTCTGTGGTGATGAATGTGTTACTAATGCCGAGTTCAGACTGCACGATTTTAGCCCTGATTTCGGCTCGCCGACAGGTTTTGAGAAATCGCCGACAAATGCCCGAAATCACAGGCAAATCGTTGCTCGTTCACGCGAGTGACAATCACACAGTGTGAATGAGCAGACGCGATCTGAGAGAATCGCCGACGAGTCGCCGACGCCCGTGAGATATTTGGCATGCTAAATATCTGGACCTGTCGGCGATTCACAATCCTGCTGTGTGAATGTGTTCTGACTGAAAACTACATCGGCGATGACCGACAGCCAATGAGAGAGAGCAAGATACAGGGAGGAGGAGGAGGAGTTATAGACCAGAATGTCAGTATTTTAATAGATAGGCCTATATTTACAATTATATCAAACAGAAACAAAGCACAAACATTTGCATGACCTGAGGTCTCTCGCTCTCTGCCGCGCGCTGCACGGTTTGGAGCACATACACACGGCCGCATTAACAATAGGGCTAGGCGGGGCTAAAGCCCCGGGGCCCGAGCAAGGAGGGGGCCCGTGATTGGCTGTGGAGTAGATACTAGCCATCTGATTGCCAAAGCCTTACCACGCAACGCCCCCCACAAATTAGCCCTGTTATTTAGTGGCGCTTTGCCGTATATTCCATGCATTATCATGGAATCATTATCATTAATATTATAGTGACCGTTCGCAAAGACCCGCCTTTTTTAGTTACTGTGTGACAAGCCAGTACTGCTCTCACGAGTCACGCACATCATGTTCTCACTCACGCAGTGAAAAATACATCGCGGGGCAAAGACTGTGACATACAGTATGTTCTGTCTCGCAGATTCCAAGAGATTTGAACTAATTTACGGGCATCAGAGAGCCGCTATCATTAAGCGGGATTTTTATAGGTTAATTTTTTTAAACAATTCAGCGCAACTCCAAAAAGGAGGACAAATGAGTGTCCGGTTTGAGGCTGAGCCGGACGCCGGACAGGGGGCTTAAAATCCGGACGTATGGCCACCCTAACTCGGACTCGACTCTCTCGGTCTCGACCCTCTATGGTCTTGGTCTTGACTCGAACTCGACCCTCTATGGTCTCGGTCTCGACTCGGACTCGACCCTCTATAGTCAGAGGTGGGTAGTAACGAAGTACATTTACTTCGTTACATTTACTTGAGTATTTTTTTGGAAAATTTGTACTTTTAAGAGTATATTTAATTGTGGGTACTTTTACTTTAACTCGAGTAGATTTCTAATGAAAAAACTGTACTTTTACTTCGTTACGTTTGGCGACGTTCCTCTCGTTACTTTATTTTAATGCAATATGTTGTTAAAAGCGTAGTTTATTCTAAGCGCGCGCTCTCTCTTTTTTCTGGGCATGAGCGATGCTCAATTCACAAATGAATCACTCTTTTGAGTCGATTCTGTTCAAAGACTTCATCAAACAAGTTGGGCAGATCTGTCTAAATCGGTTCGCGAATCAGTTTGAATGATCTGTTCAGTTTCCTGCACGCACTGAATCGTCTCGGAGTCGTAACAGGAATATTTAAGAACATCAAGAACATTGTGTGGCGGTCCATAGTCTACAGTACAGTCTAGAAAGTAAATCTGCAAATGCATCATATTTTTTGCCAGCGATGAAGATCTTTATTAGTTGAACTTGAACATCTTCGTATACTTCGTAAGCTGTCTGTGAATGAATTATTCCACACGACGATACATTCGATTTCATTCAGGTAATACATTTTACAACCAAACACATTATTACGCCATATAGCACTACTACAAAGTATGGCATTACCCTTTTTTTGGACATATACATTACTTTATACATTAAATAAGCTATCATCGTCCAGTTTATGAATGTGTGTACACACACAATGTATTCTCGGTGTTGTAGTGTCGGTATTGCGCAGTGGCGTGCGAACTCGACTTGAAAACGAATGCCTTTGCCTGCCTTATTAGACTCAGTTAACCAGTTTAAAGATGCTTTCATAAATATAGCCTACATTTAAATACATTTTGGAGAACAGACAGAAGAAGATCCGTGCATTTGATCGTTGTTTATGTTGGGCATGACTGCGAGCACATGTGCAGAGTTTTAACACTTTCTAATCTGTCAATGGTTCCCATCCCTTGAATGCAAAACTCCATAGAGTCACTTTATTCCGACATTGTCTAATAATCCAAATGTAGTTGTATAAGTTACTATACTATTATACAAACCAAAGGACAGCCAATGGTTTTCAGGCTATAGATATACAGAAATAATGTTTGTCTCTTCTGTTTTTGTTGCAAAGATAGCTTATCTAATTATGATAATAATAGTCATTTAAATGAAAAAAAAAATCTAAATAATATCATGTTACATATACAGTATATATATATATATATATATATATATATATATATATATATATATATATATATATATATATATATATATATATGCCTATGTGTAAAGTAACTAGTAACTAACTACTTGAGTAGTTTTTTCATTGGATACTTTTTTACTCTTACTCAAGTAACTTTTAAGATTATTACTTTTACTTTTACTTTGAGTAAATATTTCTATAAGTACTTGTACTTTTACTTGAGTACAGTTTTTGGATACTCTACCCACCTCTGTCTATAGTCTCGGTCTCGACTCGGACTCGAGTGAGCTGGTCTCGACTACAACACTGACTAGTGTGGATTTTTTTTCTACAATATTCACTCATGACAGTAAAATATGGCATTCTAAGTCAATCTACAGCAGTATTTCCTCTCTCACTCAGTAGAAAATGTGGTTAACCCAGTCATGCTTAGGAAAAAAAAATACCATCATATACCATGAAACCGGTAATTTTGAAAAATACCGTGATAAGGATTTTTGGTCATACTGCTCAGCACTACTACACATACATTAGCTACCTAAATTCATCAACTAACCATTCAGAAATGTCCTGTTGCAGTCTACATGTAATCACTTCTTCTTGAGTCTCTCCATCATTGTCTGACTCCCGTTTGAACATAAAAGTCTAAACATTTTAGAAATTTTCAGTGCATGTCTGTGTGAGGTAAAAGTACACAAGCTGTTGAAGCTCCGCCCTCTGTGCCGGGAGCAGCAGCTCATTTGCATTTATATAAAGGGACCAACACAAAAAACGGTAAGTTTTTGCTCACCCTCAAAAAGTGACAATTTTAACATGCTATATACAAATATCTGTGGGGTAATTGAGCTAAAACTTCACATACACACTCTGGGGACATAAAAGACTTAGTTTACATCTTGTGAAAAGGGCATTATACCACCCCTTTAAGGGTTTTGAACGACATGAGGGTGAGTAAATAATGACGGAATTTCATTTTTGGGTGAACTAACCCTTTAAAGTGCTATCTTTACTGCTCGTCGTGGTTATATGGTTTGGTGCATTTTATTATTTGCTTGAATGCTTGAATCTGATTGGTTGACAAACGTTCTAAGGTGTGTAATTATTTTCAGGGAAACAAGCGACTAAAGTAGTTTCAGGCAGGTCTTGACCGCATTACAGTTCCATATCACTTCGCCAAATTTCAAAGGTCTGTACATCCTACAACAACAAAAGAACCAAAATCCACAACGACACTGACCAAGCAAATAAATATAGTAAACAATAGGATAAAAACGTCAAATTATGTCCTCAAAATTACATTTTAATATGTATGGAAAGCACATACTCTCTTTCTCACCCTCCCACTCAAACACACACACATACACACACTCGATAAACGTGTCTTCAGCGCTGCTCTGATGATTTTGTCAGTAAAATAGTTTAACAACTTAAAAGCTACATTTATCACTAGCAAACTAATAACGGTGTGTTTTTGGAGAAGATAAACTTACAGTTTCGCTATTATTAGAGACGCTGCTGCCAAACACTGTTTAGAGACGCTCTCTCTCTCTCTCTCTCTCTCTCTCTCTCTCTCTCTCTCTCTCTCTCTCTCTCTCTCTCTCTCTCTCTCTCTCTCTCTCTCTCTCTCTCTCTACTGCATTAATAACTGCATTGGTCTGCTATAAACGGCTCAAGACTTGGTTACTAACTCTAAAATGACGTTTTGGAATTAACAACAGAGGTTTGGGATTAGATTAGATTTTTCAACTGCACATTTTATATGTAAATGAGCTCTATTATGATTGGCTATAACCTCTTTGTATGTCAATGACATATCCAAGTTGCTGAATACTAATTAGCCCTTTGATATGTGCTCATGTGTTAATGTGCTCATAGTTGTGACTTCATAACTGTGGCTATTTCTGATGAAACCATTTTTGCAGCTTCATTTCAATGATTGGTCTGAGGAAGATGTGACATGACACCATTTATTTCGAAAGAGCACAAACGATCCTGTTTTCCATGATATGCACTTTTAAAAAGGGATCAAGAGGGGGATTTGCTATAATGAATCACGGTTGCTAATAATGCCATTTATTTGCACATTCTGTCTGTGCTAGAAAATCTGCTAGGTGCAATTTCCATGCTTCAATCTTGCGGTTCTGAGTGTTGGTTGTGTGGAGGATGATACAGACTGTACGTCACTCCACATATCCAGACACCATCCATCGGCTCTTTAAAATGCTGAAAGTGCAGCATGGTGCTTCTGGATATTTGGACGGTAATAACTTTCTCCTCCCATATTTGATGAATTACCTGAGCCATGATCACTAGAAAATGTTTTTTACGGATGGAATAGCATAACGTTAACTGCACCAAGCAGAATATCTTAAGAAAGGTTCCAAAAGGGGGTGTTCGGCATAACAGAAGAACAATTTTTGGTTCCTTCTTAAAAGAACCTTTTTTTTTTCTTAGTGTGAAGAACATTTAAAAAACAACAACAACTAAAATAACCTTTTGTGTAATGGAAAGGTTGTTCATGGAACCCTAAATGTCAATAAAACCTTTATTTTTTTAAGAGTGAAAAGAGGCATGTTTATGCTGGAAACAAAATGAATACTCATGGCACAATGCTAATTTATAACATTTAGGGCTTGTTAAAGCTTCGATAAAGGCCACAGCTGTGAAGGTCACAAAAATGTTACCAAACAACAACAGTTTACTGTCATCAGAAACTGGGAAGACTTGAATCTATGCAATGATGTACTTTACTGTCTTCAGAATGATGCTCCTGTAACTATCTCAAATTCACAAACAGCTGCTTTGATTACAGATGAGCAATCTTTGCTAGGGGCATATGAATTTTGTTTTGTTGCTACAGATTGTCAGGCTCGTTTTGTTTTTTTGCACCACCAACACAACAGAACATGTCATACAACTGTCATTCCTGTTAGCATTGCACTTTCACACGAAATGCAGGGAGTGTCTGTGATTTACAGATCGCCTCTCTCAGCTGGAATAAAAACAGTCCAAGCATGAATGTGTTGAGCAACACCGCTGGGCTAAACCCATGTAAGACCGTTGATGTATGGTCAAAAATTATGCATTTTCATGCTCTATAATTTCAGTGCACTCAATACGATGCAAATCGCGCTCACACATAATGAACTATTGTTTTGTTCACGCTACATCTGCTGCTTTTTTAAAAGTCTGAAATGCACATGCAAGTGAATTGAACTGAATCTCAGAAGCAGTAAAATTCAAAGCTAGAATTTGCACAAAGCAGAGTGGGAGGCCAGTGCAACTTCTTAATATGCAGGGTTAATTTATGCATAACATGGTCACACTGCCGTGGAAACTCAATCCAGCCCACACAAAGTGAAGAGAAAAGTGACCTTTAACACAGAAAACCCTCAAAGATACTGTTAAATATATATATATATATATATATATATATATATATATATATATATATATATATATATATATATTTCACATACCTGCATGATTTAGACACGCTGCAATGATGTATAATGCAGCCAGCGGTAAGGGGAAGTTGATCCAAAACTTGCTCATAGCCAAATGTCAACTTCTTACTGAAAACCTGGGGGAAAAAAGAACAGACTGTCATTGTCGCTCGCTGACTGGACACCTCATTTGCAAGTGTGAGTCATTTGATTCTGATAAGGGTCTCAGTTATGGAAAATTCAAATGTCATTTTAACGCAACTGGAATGAGAAAGTCTCGAGTTTCGATTCAAAGGTGTAAAAAAACAACAACATTAATCACTCTGAAGTAGTAAAGGAGGAATGTCAACAAAACAAATATGGCACAGAAAAATGAAATCAGGAACTATAGACTTGTATCTGACATATATAGCCTATTTTTAAAAGCCATACTGAACCCATTTTATAATGATACTGTATATACAAACAAATAAACAAAAAATATTATTTATAAGAAATAATAAATTAACTGAAATAAAAACCTAAATAAATAAAATAAATAATGTATTTTATTGTGTCTGTAATTAGTTCTTCCTGTTTAAGAGTGTTAATAATAATAATAATAATAATAATAATTCATTACATTATCATTTGGTGTTGGTATATTTGCCCGATTGATCCACTATCCAGATCAAAGAAAAAAAAAAAAAGTGTTGATATATGATGTTATATAAAATGCTATTTTAATTATAACAATATTAATAATTGAATAAATTAATTTTAAAAATGTGGTTTTTTTATACACAATATTTACTTAATTTAAAACAAACATTTAAAAACAGAAATTGTGCACTGACAAATGAAAAGTGTGTTTGGATATTTTTGACCAGTTTGGCATCAGACAAATTCAAAAATCTCAAACACTGCCTGATTTATCTGACCGATATTTTCTCCTATCGCTATTTTCATATCCTGTGTAAATCACTCTAGAGAAATGGCAAATAAGGAATTTAGTAGCCTACAGTGTGACTAACACATTACAATGTTTAAAAACACCAGGTGGAGTTATAAAAATAAAAATAAAAGAAAAAGGGCACAATAAAAAGGGACTTGGGTTACTTATTAAAATCTCAAAGCACTGAAACTGTGATTGTTATCAGTGTGTCTATAAATCATTTAAGGAACAAATCATGTGTCAGTGTAGCTGCCAATAAAACACAGTAATTCAAACTTTGAGGAAGAGAGTTCTGCCACAACTCAATACAGCTTAAATATATACAGTATATGCTTTTGATTCGATGAGCCTTCTTTGAGCACTTGCTTATGGCAGTCTGCAATAATCATCTCAAGTCTCATAAGAAATTAAATAAGCCAGAAAAACGAATTAATGGAGGTCAGAGCAGGCAAGGATCTTTTAAAGAGCAAAGTCCAAACTACAGTTCTTCCTATCACAACCAACTAGCTCTGTTTACTTCTTCTTATAAATCTTATGTAAACTCAATAAGAGAATTCTGTGAAAAGATATAAATTACCTCTCAACGGAGCAACTGATTTCAGAATAATCCAACAAACCGTGCAGTTCTATCAGTTGTTTTGTTTTTGGTTTCCTCAACTCTCACTCTCACCTGAAGCAGGTAAACAGGTGTTTCCGCTCAAGCTCCGCCCCCTCGCAGCAGTCCACCAATCACAGAGGATCACAAACTCAGTGAAACCCGCTGCTGACCCGCCTATTTACACCTGACATGTTTGATTTGTGATTCATGGCCTCTGTGTAGGCAGTCGAGCTTTCATTCCAGTGAAATATTCCCCTGGGATTATCTAATGTAAAATGTGTTCAAAGAATCACAGTAAGTAAGATTAAATCAGCTATTTTGAATCAAAGAGACCTCGAGAGGATTTCATGATCCAAACACAGTGTTCACAGAAAAGCTTCTCATTTGGATATTGAAAAGAATGCTAAATATGAATAATACAATATAACTAGCCATAAAGTCATCCGTAGAATATCAAAATATACATTTACTAAAGGGCAGATTCCCATATTTGTTAGTGTTGAAGGTGAAATCCTTCACACATTGTATTTTGGTGAAAATACACCTGTTTTTTTGGGGGGAAATATGACTAATACTAATTCAATATTAGTGCTTGTTCTGTGTGTTAGGTTGATACATCACACTTGTTGTTTATGGGTTTAAAAAACTGTGGGTTTTCTTACACAGCCTGCGGCCATGTGAGTCATCTTGCATTTTGTTTGGCCTGTGCAATTCAGGGTAATATTAATGCATTTCATGTTTGGTTTAATGATAATTTTCTTTACATTCGATAAACAATTTTTAACACTGTGTTGGCACTCTCCTAATACAAAATGCAAAACCGAATGAGAACCACTGCACTGAAGTGTGTCTTATGTTGCATATTGCATGACAAATGTGATCTTTTTTTGTGTCAAAATTATTTTTCAATAATTTATTTTGTATTAAGCTCAAAAGGCCAATGTGTTGGTTAAAGTAGTGTTTATTTTGGAAATGCAACTTTAGGCTGATGTAAAAACCTAAATACTGTTGTTCTGGGGAATCTGCTTGTTTGCACGCATTACTCAGATTAATTATCACTACAAAACATATACAATACAAGGAGAATCAATCTTTGCTGTCACTGTAGGCGATGGATGTGCGTACAAGGTCTCAGATGAAGTCTTCTGTCAGTCAAGAGCTCTTTTGATCATCAGTGCCACCTCAAACTCCCACAGCTACACACAGAACCGTGGAAATGCTGATATGATCACCCTGGCAACATCCCCGAGCCTCTGAGGACAAAAACACAAGGTGAGTGTGAGTGTGTGTACAATTCAGAATTGAGGAAGTGGGTCTCGTTCATGAGTATGAATTTGAATTGAATTTTCCTTCTTACAGGACTTTGTCTCTGTTTAACAAGATTTTTATTGGCTAAAAAGCTATTAATACATGACATGTTTATGTTGTTATTGAGAGGAAAGCGTGCAGCACATATTTACATGTTCAAAATGCGTCTCTATAGCACGCATTGTGTTTTATCGTGCAATTTATATGCGAAAATGAGTTTTTACGTCCATATGATACGCAGTTTTCGCGTGCATTTGATACGCAGTTCATTTGCGTGTAATACACACGCACCCCACACCACTAATTCTACCCAAACGTGTAATACACACGCACCCCACACCACTAATTCTACCCAAACGTGTAATACACACGCAGCCCCACACCACTAATTCTACCCAAACGTATAATACACACGCACCCCACACCACTAATTCTACCCAAACGTGTAATACACACGCACCCCACACCACTAATTCTACCCAAACGTGTAATACACACACCCCCCACACCACTCATTCTACCCAAACGTGTAATACACACGCACCCCACACCACTAATTCTACCCAAACGTGTAATACACACGCACCCCACACCACTAATTCTACCCAAACGTGTAATACACACGCACCCTACACCACTAATTCTACCCAAACGTGTAATACACACGCACCCCACACCACTAATTCTACCCAAACGTGTAATACACACGCACCCCACACCACTAATTCTACCCAAACGTAATACACACGCACCCCACACCACTAATTCTACCCAAACGTATAATACACACGCACCCCACACCACTAATTCTACCCAAACGTATAATACACACGCACCCCACACCACTAATTCTACCCAAACGTGTAATACACACGCACCCCACACCACTAATTCTACCCAAACGTATAATACACACGCACCCCACACCACTAATTCTACCCAAACGTGTAATACACACGCACCCCACACCACTAATTCTACCCAAATGTGTAATACACACATCCCCCACACCACTCATTCTACCCAAACGTGTAATACACACGCACCCCACACCACTAATTCTACCCAAACGTGTAATACACACGCACCCCACACCACTAATTCTACCCAAACGTATAATACACACGCACCCCACACCACTAATTCTACCCAAACGTGTAATACACACGCACCCCACACCACTAATTCTACCCAAACGTATAATACACACGCACCCTACACCACTAATTCTACCCAAACGTGTAATACACACGCACCCCACACCACTAATTCTACCCAAACGTGTAATACACACGCACCCCACACCACTAATTCTACCCAAACGTATAATACACACGCACCCCACACCACTAATTCTACCCAAACGTATAATACACACGCACCCCACACCACTAATTCTACCCAAACGTGTAATACACACGCACCCCACACCACTAATTCTACCCAAACGTATAATACACACGCACCCCACACCACTAATTCTACCCAAACGTGTAGTACACACGCACCCCACACCACTAATTCTACCCAAACGTGTAATACACACGCACCCCACACCACTAATTCTACCCAAACGTATAATACACACGCACCCCACACCACTAATTCTACCCAAACGTATAATACACACGCACCCCACACCACTAATTCTACCCAAACGTGTAATACACACGCACCCCACACCACTAATTCTACCCAAACGTATAATACACACGCACCCCACACCACTAATTCTACCCAAACGTGTAGTACACACGCACCCCACACCACTAATTCTACCCAAACGTATAATACACACGCACCCCACACCACTAAACCTACCCTAACCAACCCAGACAGCAACATAGTGTCGGCCCAGATCCGGCCCACATCTGGTACATGTGGATTTCCCCCCGGGCCAGATGTGGGCCGGATCTGGGCCGACACTATGTTGCTGTCTGGGAACCCATGCGTATCCTATGCACGTAAAAAACTAATTTTCGCATATAATTTGCACGATAAACACACTGCGTGCTATAGAGACGCATTTAGTGTGATCGGGTTGACACGTCACTCTCAGCAGTGTGTGGACGGCGTCTGGATGTTTGTTAGCAGTATATCACTGCAAAGGTGTTTCCAACTTCTGTTTCTAAGTGATAAAACGGGGCCTTGAATCATGTTCAGTCTCTTATGTTGCTGACTGCGGTTCACTTGACAGCCATCGCTAATAACAATTCCACACATGGCCCCTTTAAATGCAATGAAACTATTAAAACAGTAATTATAAAGGATTTAGCCTGACGAATTCAGTGGTGTACATGACCAAAGTTCTGTGTTTGAGGTTCAGTCTGATACTTTGCTAACACAAAAGCAATGTTCTCCTCGTCTTGATCTCTTTCTCGTAGGCTTAGCTTCAAGGCCGACAGCCGCTACAGCTAATCGTTGAGATAGCGGCCGCTGATAATTGGTGCCGATTAGGAAATTAAGACCATTCAATGTAGTTTTCCCTGAAGACCTTGAGATATGAGCTTTAAAAATCCTTATCTCTTCTTATCAAGAACAAAGAAAGCATCTTGTTGTGGTTTTCAATGAAGCAGTTCATCCAGTGAACTCAGTCCTTTAGTAGTGAGAAGACATTGACACCAGATGAGAGGACGTGCGCCGTACTTTGCTGTTTTCTATATGGTGTGATGCTTTGAATAAAACTCTGTGGTTTTGTTTTGTTGTGCGCACCAATAATGAATGACTTGATCTAACATCTGACTTTAAAGAGCAACCGTACGTCAAGCCGTCACTTTAAAAACGGTAAAGGATTTTCAGTCGTTTCTGATTGGCACAGTGGTGACTGGAAAATCTTCAGTTCATGAGTCATCTGGAGACACTTGACCCAATTTGACTCCAAAATATATTTTCAGATAAACTACAAAATATTTCTAGAAGCATTAGGTTCCACCTGTTAAATTTATAGATATATCATATTTTTTTATACGTTCATTTTTATTTGGTCGAAGAACATTACTTTTTCTAGAATGCTCAAAGTTACCCCTATTTGTAATGTCAATATTTATTTTTATTATCTGAAAACGATTTGGTGGAATATTTTATAGAGCTCTATGGTGCAAGATACATGTTCTTTGACAGTGGTGTTGGGATTTATACAAACACTCTATTTTATTTTATACCAAGCAATGACGACATGGCGAGTGAATAGAGAAAATGTACAATCAATAATGCTTACTGAACTTGAGACTGCATTTTGTATCATTATGTTAAGTAGAAAATATTTTTCCTTGTGACAATATGATTATTTCAAGCCGTTTGTCGTGTGTTTTTTGGCATGGAGCGGAGGATGATGTCTTTTGCAGCATCATATATGAAATGAGACGGTCTCCATCTTTTGATAAAGCTGCACCTGCCATAAACAACATAATGACATTTTGTTCTGTTTATTTCTGTTTTAGTGGCTTAATGTGAGAAATACTCAATGTGCCGCCAAATGGAGTTCTGGAGGAAAGAAATTATGTCCTCGATAAACGTATGATGGGGGAAGACGCATGGGTCATGACAGTTCTAGTTTGGTTTAACATTTAGCGAGGGTCAGGCAAGCATTTAAATTTGATTAATAATGCAATGTGTTGCAGTTACCAACTAACAGTTTTTTTTTCTGGTCAAAGGCAGTTTTTACTTGCATTTGGTGCTTTGATAAGTGTTCATTTTGGATCCTGCTGACACCTACTGGTGTAGATGCAGCGTCATGCAAAAATATTTATGGTTATCAATGCATTCACAGGCATATTA